GGATATGTTTGATTTTCATGTTTGCTAGGCTAGGTTTCCACGTCAAAATGACCGCCCGGGACGTGTTGGTCAGCCCTCAGCTCGTGACATAGGGCATGTGACACCAGCATCGGGGCTCAGTCATGGAGGGGACACGTACACAGACTGCAGGCATGCCTTACAATGTCTCTATCTTGGGGCTGAAGGGTCCACAACGAGCCAGAACGAGCGCCGAACCCCCAGCGACCACTGTTTTCGGCCGATTTTGGCTCAATTACGGCGTCCAATCTGGGACATAAGCGGGGCATGTGACACCACTTGCTACCCATGGGCGTTCAGGTATGCCCATGGCCTTATCAAAACCGGAGAGATTAGGTCGCCAGCTTGGGGAAGGATATGTTTGATTTTTCATGTTTGCTAGGCTAGGTTTCCACGTCAAAATGACCGCCCGGGACGTGTTGGTCAGCCCTCAGCTCGTGACATAGGGCATGTGACACCAGCATCGGGGCTCAGTCATGGAGGGGACACGTACACAGACTGCAGGCATGCCTTACAATGTCTCTATCTTGGGGCTGAAGGGTCCACAACGAGCCAGAACGAGCGCCGAACCCCCAGCGACCACTGTTTTCGGCCGATTTTGGCTCAATTACGGCGTCCAATCTGGGACATAAGCGGGGCATGTGACACCACTTGCTACCCATGGGCGTTCAGGTATGCCCATGGCCTTATCAAAACCGGAGAGAATTAGGTCGCCAGCTTGGGGAAGGATATGTTTGATTTTCATGTTTGCTAGGCTAGGTTTCCACGTCAAAATGACCGCCCGGGACGTGTTGGTCAGCCCTCAGCTCGTGACATAGGGCATGTGACACCAGCATCGGGGCTCAGTCATGGAGGGGACACGTACACAGACTGCAGGCATGCCTTACAATGTCTCTATCTTGGGGCTGAAGGGTCCACAACGAGCCAGAACGAGCGCCGAACCCCCAGCGACCACTGTTTTCGGCCGATTTTGGCTCAATTACGGCGTCCAATCTGGGACATAAGCGGGGCATGTGACACCACTTGCTACCCATGGGCGTTCAGGTATGCCCATGGCCTTATCAAAACCGGAGAGATTAGGTCGCCAGCTTGGGGAAGGATATGTTTGATTTTCATGTTTGCTAGGCTAGGTTTCCACGTCAAAATGACCGCCCGGGACGTGTTGGTCAGCCCTCAGCTCGTGACATAGGGCATGTGACACCAGCATCGGGGCTCAGTCATGGAGGGGACACGTACACAGACTGCAGGCATGCCTTACAATGTCTCTATCTTGGGGCTGAAGGGTCCACAACGAGCCAGAACGAGCGCCGAACCCCCAGCGACCACTGTTTTCGGCCGATTTTGGCTCAATTACGGCGTCCAATCTGGGACATAAGCGGGGCATGTGACACCACTTGCTACCCATGGGCGTTCAGGTATGCCCATGGCCTTATCAAAACCGGAGAGATTAGGTCGCCAGCTTGGGGAAGGATATGTTGATTTTCATGTTTGCTAGGCTAGGTTTCCACGTCAAAATGACCGCCCGGGACGTGTTGGTCAGCCCTCAGCTCGTGACATAGGGCATGTGACACCAGCATCGGGGCTCAGTCATGGAGGGGACACGTACACAGACTGCAGGCATGCCTTACAATGTCTCTATCTTGGGGCTGAAGGGTCCACAACGAGCCAGAACGAGCGCCGAACCCCCAGCGACCACTGTTTTCGGCCGATTTTGGCTCAATTACGGCGTCCAATCTGGGACATAAGCGGGGCATGTGACACCACTTGCTACCCATGGGCGTTCAGGTATGCCCATGGCCTTATCAAAACCGGAGAGATTAGGTCGCCAGCTTGGGGAAGGATATGTTTGATTTTCATGTTTGCTAGGCTAGGTTTCCACGTCAAAATGACCGCCCGGGACGTGTTGGTCAGCCCTCAGCTCGTGACATAGGGCATGTGACACCAGCATCGGGGCTCAGTCATGGAGGGGACACGTACACAGACTGCAGGCATGCCTTACAATGTCTCTATCTTGGGGCTGAAGGGTCCACAACGAGCCAGAACGAGCGCCGAACCCCCAGCGACCACTGTTTTCGGCCGATTTTGGCTCAATTACGGCGTCCAATCTGGGACATAAGCGGGGCATGTGACACCACTTGCTACCCATGGGCGTTCAGGTATGCCCATGGCCTTATCAAAACCGGAGAGATTAGGTCGCCAGCTTGGGGAAGGATATGTTTGATTTTCATGTTTGCTAGGCTAGGTTTCCACGTCAAAATGACCGCCCGGGACGTGTTGGTCAGCCCTCAGCTCGTGACATAGGGCATGTGACACCAGCATCGGGGCTCAGTCATGGAGGGGACACGTACACAGACTGCAGGCATGCCTTACAATGTCTCTATCTTGGGGCTGAAGGGTCCACAACGAGCCAGAACGAGCGCCGAACCCCCAGCGACCACTGTTTTCGGCCGATTTTGGCTCAATTACGGCGTCCAATCTGGGACATAAGCGGGGCATGTGACACCACTTGCTACCCATGGGCGTTCAGGTATGCCCATGGCCTTATCAAAACCGGAGAGATTAGGTCGCCAGCTTGGGGAAGGATATGTTTGATTTTCATGTTTGCTAGGCTAGGTTTCCACGTCAAAATGACCGCCCGGGACGTGTTGGTCAGCCCTCAGCTCGTGACATAGGGCATGTGACACCAGCATCGGGGCTCAGTCATGGAGGGGACACGTACACAGACTGCAGGCATGCCTTACAATGTCTCTATCTTGGGGCTGAAGGGTCCACAACGAGCCAGAACGAGCGCCGAACCCCCAGCGACCACTGTTTTCGGCCGATTTTGGCTCAATTACGGCGTCCAATCTGGGACATAAGCGGGGCATGTGACACCACTTGCTACCCATGGGCGTTCAGGTATGCCCATGGCCTTATCAAAAACCGGAGAGATTAGGTCGCCAGCTTGGGGAAGGATATGTTTGATTTTCATGTTTGCTAGGCTAGGTTTCCACGTCAAAATGACCGCCCGGGACGTGTTGGTCAGCCCTCAGCTCGTGACATAGGGCATGTGACACCAGCATCGGGGCTCAGTCATGGAGGGGACACGTACACAGACTGCAGGCATGCCTTACAATGTCTCTATCTTGGGGCTGAAGGGTCCACAACGAGCCAGAACGAGCGCCGAACCCCAGCGACCACTGTTTTTCGGCCGATTTTGGCTCAATTACGGCGTCCAATCTGGGACATAAGCGGGGCATGTGACACCACTTGCTACCCATGGGCGTTCAGGTATGCCCATGGCCTTATCAAACCGGAGAGATTAGGGTCGCCAGCTTGGGGAAGGATATGTTTGATTTTCATGTTTGCTAGGCTAGGTTTCACGTTAAAATGACCTGCCCGGACGTGTTGGTCAGACCCTCAGCTCGTGACATAGGGCATGTGACACCAGCATCGGGCTCAGTCATGGAGGACACGTACACAGACTGCAGGCATGCCTTACAATGTCTCTATCTTGGGGCTGAAGGGTCCACAACGAGCCAGAACGAGCGCCGAACCCCCAGCGACCACTGTTTTCGGCCGATTTGGGCTCAAATTACGGCGTCCAATCTGGGACATAAGCGGGGCATGTGACACCACTTGCTACCCATGGGCGTTCAGGTATGCCCATGGCCTTAATCAAAACCGGAGAGATTAGGTCGCCAGCTTGGGGAAGGATATGTTTGATTTTCATGTTTGCTAGGCTAGGTTTCCACGTCAAAATGACCGCCCGGGACGTGTTGGTCAGCCCTCAGCTCGTGACATAGGGCATGTGACACCAGCATCGGGGGCTCAGTCATGGAGGGGACACGTACACAGACTGCAGGCATGCCTTACAATGTCTCTATCTTGGGGCTGAAGGGTCCACAACGAGCCAGAACGAGCGCCGAACCCCCAGCGACCACTGTTTTCGGCCGATTTTGGCTCAATTACGGGGCCGTCCAATCTGGGACATAAGCGGGGGCATTGTGACACCACTTGCTACCCATGGGCGTTCAGGTATGCCCATGGGCCTTATCAAAACCGGAGAGATTAGGTCGCCAGCTTGGGGAAGGATATGTTTGATTTTCATGTTTGCTAGGCTAGGTTTCCACGTCAAAATGACCGCCCGGGACGTGTTGGTCAGCCCTCAGCTCGTGACATAGGGCATGTGACACCAGCATCGGGGCTCAGTCATGGAGGGGACACGTACACAGACTGCAGGCATGCCTTACAATGTCTCTATCTTGGGGCTGAAGGGTCCACAACGAGCCAGAACGAGCACCTCTTGTGAAATTATCGTTACGGTCCTGTTTATTAATATCTATGTGTGTGAAAGTTAATTTCGGTTATTTTTCACCTGTATATCATTGTGTTTAAACAGGACTGTAATGTGACTGATTATATGTACAGTATACTGTTACTATCAATTATAGGTCAATTCCCATTATAATAGTCATTATTTACATAGTAAATTCAGCTCAAACTGACAACGAATAAAATAGCAGAATTTTACTTTTCACTATCCAGAGAAGTGATATTTAATTGAAAAATACTACATTCATGTGAATACTACATTCGCACATTCACGTATTTTTTTGTTTTGAAAATGCTTTTTTGAATACATTGTATAATAGACATTTTCAACTACCGCAGTATCATTTCCTAAATGCATTTTACTTGTCTGATCCAGCACTTACAATATGTTTCATATTTTCAATATATTAAGTTTCATTTGTAACAACCATTTTGACCATACATACTAAAATGTTGCTCTATCCATGCTTGCAAAGGTGCTAGTCGCATTGATTTTACATAAAATATGTTTAATCTTGTAATCATGTAATATTATGGATACAATGTGTTTTGTTTCTCTATTTCTTTGGTGGGAAATGTCATCTTACATATCCATGGTAATCTACATTCTTTGACCAAAAGATCTGTACACAGATTATTCAGAGGAACAAGATAAAGAAACAACTTCATCCTTTTCATGTGTTTATTATTCAATAAATTATTCTATCACAATTATAAATATTTCCAAAACATACTTATTATATTTTCATACAGATGTTAATATGACATTATAAAAAGGTAACATAGAGAGATCAATCACACATTAATTTATATCATACATGTATTACATTATCATGAGTTAATCATAAAAAAATTAATTCAATCATTAATAATGTATTAATATTTTCCATTATTAAGAGGTTCTCATTAATATTTATCATACATTATTTTGACAACTTTCATCAATTCATCAACATATATTGCTAGTAATCTAACTTTATGCAATCTGTCAGGCAATAGGTACACCTTAGATAAATAGATACATAAAATAAAACACTTACAGGTAAATGACTACCAAAATAAACAAATACTTCACACCTGTTCATGGTTTTTTGTTGTTGCACAAAATGTTAAAGTTATTTTTTCTCCAGAATTGAAGTCTTGAGTATGAGCTGATTATTATAATATCATGTCCTGTTAGCAGTGCAGTCAAAGTTCTCCCAGCTAAAAATAACCCCTTCATCTATTATGCTAGAACAGTTATCATTTGATACAATACAACAGACAGACATGATACAGGTGACAACATGTACAGGATTAAAGACATAAAAGATAATTTGAATTTGATACCTGTTATTGGCAAAAATGCATTGTACAGTCCATTATATATTTATTTAAATTACAGTATCAAATTTCTGAACACTTGCTTTAACTAAAAGTATAAATAATAATGATGACTTTTAATCAAAATTATCATTATCAATCAATTATTCATAGTAATCAATATATAGTAATCAATAACTGGAAAAAGTAAAGTATCATCATTATCTTAACCAATGACATTACCTTAAGGTAAGTGTAACCAGCACTGAAAAATCTTTGACTCTATCTATCTCAATCCAATGAGAAGTTGCATCACTTTGAGACCAGTTTTGATGGAAAAATCAAATCAAAATAGTGCGATTTTTGGCAATTTTGAGATGTCCCCTTGTTGCAATGGGAACAGGAAATTTCAGATTGAGTATGCCAGCCATTCAACATATGTGCCAAGTTTAACAATATTGAAGCCTTTTTAATAGTTCCATAGTAATTTGAACTTGTAACAGGAGGCTTTTCAATGAAAATAGTCATTTTTCACAATATGCTCATGCATTAATGGGTTAATCAACTAATTTTGCAAGTAATTAGATATGTCTGACAAATAACAAAGGAACAGATTTTTTTTTCAATATGCATACATTAGAAAAAAAAAATATATGAACTACAGTACATTATACAGTATTAACATTCTTAAATTTACATTATTCTCTCATGACAAAGTAGTAAAATTAAAAAAAAAAACACAAAAAAAAAACAATAACACTTGTACTTTCATTAAATGTACTTAACAGTATCTTTTTTAATTAAATATGCATTGCTCCTAAAATAGAAAAAAAAATATTTGCTGGAATGAAAAGGAAAAATAAAAATAATATATATTTAAACACTGCAAAATCTCAACATATCATTGACTGCAATGACAGCAATTGTAACTTTCTTACAGATATTACTCAAATGTATGCTGTTTTATATATATACATATATTTGCATATACATATATATGTATAATGTTTACACATCAAGATGAAAATTTTACATAAAACCATTTCAATAGTTTAAAAAAAATATCAGCTGTTCCAACTTCAGTGATATCAAAAAATATCAATGTCAAATCAGAACATTATTAATAGGCATTTAAACCTAGCAACGTTCTGAAGGGCAGGCCTGGTCATCCAATTATGCTGCTGTTGAAGACATGAATGAACTTGAATCTTTTGAGCTCTTGAATTGTTGGTACCATAGAAATGTGTTAATTTAACAAGCCTTTTATAATGTAAAAAGTAAAAAAAATCAAATCTTGCATTCAAATTTAACTGTAACATATTTATCATAATTTGCATATTTTTGATCTATTTAAATTAATCTAAAAGACCAAATAGATCTATCCCTGTAATAATTGTGATATTATGTTTCTAGACTTTTAGATCTCTCTCAATGGAGCTCCTTGCTTGTGATCCTCTGTTTTCAGAATATCACATCTAGCTGGTGTCGGTATAATAAAAACATTTATTATATACTTATAAAAGAATAACTGAGAAATATTGATGAAATAAAATGCATATTTTTATTTTCCTAAATTTCAAGTTGAAAATTCATTTTTCATGCCAGTGAAACATATTTTTTTGTATTTTCACTGGTGTCTTGCTTCACTTCTTTTTTCTAGATTCAGCCAATTCACAAAATTAAAAAGGAATTCTTCTTACTCATAAGGTTAAAAAAGATAAAAAGTATATATTAAACAGAAAATTCAAGTCTTTTCTATTAATACTGGATTTATTTTCACCTTGTGGTATGAAAATTATCATATTTCACTGGTGGCTACTGAAAATAAATCCTGTATTTAAAAAAGAAACTTGAATATCCTCGTATATAACGAGAAAACAGAAATCAGATCAGCTGTACAAGAGTATTTTCATAAAATAAGTGAACCATACTTTCACAAGAAATGGTGTATGCAAAAACATCTTTCTTCTTGACCCGTAGATGTCTTTTCTGTCTATTTGAAGAATTGTTAGTTGAAATTCAGAAACATCATTGTCATTCATCTCCTTGTGCTGAGCTATTCTTGTTTTTTCTTCAAAAAACAAAACAAAACAAAAATATAATTCAGACAGAAACGTTACTTAAATAGAATATGACATGCATCACCATTTATCAATTAAAAGATTATATATAGAATTTATTGGACTAACTTTTAAGATCTTAAAATATAAAAAAAATTTAAAGCAGTACTAAAACAAGAATTTGAAACAGATTTACCAATATGCTGAAAGGAAGCACACAATAATGTTATTTTAAAAGTTTCCTGCACAAAATATAATTCAAACTTGACAGTCAATGTCATTCATTAGACATACCTTTGGTTCAAGAACGAATGACATCTATAAATGAAAAACATAGACAAATTAAGGAAACTTCAATAGTTTGACTTTGATGGTAAAGATCACTTAAAGGTCAAGACCACATAAAAATAACCATTTCATCCTAGAATGCTGTGACCTTGCACAGGTTTGTGACAGATATTCAATTTCAGAACTTTTTGACTCAGTTCCTTCCAAAACATTGACCCACAACTTAAAAGAAATAAATCTGTATTCTAAGAGTTAACTAACTCACTTTATAACATTGCACTGACTTTTTTTAGGTTTAATAATCTTATGTTAACCATTAAAGTTTGGCACAGTATAGCCAGTTATGTGTCTATGTGGCGTTTAACACACACACACACACACACACACAAAAACGACAAAAAACAAGAGCTGTCACAGAAAGTGACAAATGCCCCCAAAGAATTCTTGTTATAAACCACCTATTACATGTTTTGTGTGGTGGTAAAAATTGACAAAGTTCGAACCCCAGCATTAACCTTTAAGTTACACAAAGAACTTTGGTCTTGTTCACAACACATTGTACATATATTAAGACTAACACATTGTACATATATTAAGACTTTATATGTCTTTGTTAAAAAATTTAAATTTCATGTGTATGGAAGTTGCAGAGCGGACACAACAACCACCATTCATATGTATATAACATAAATATTGAAAGAGTTTAAACCCCAGCAGTGACCTTGAACTAAGGCGTAGGAACACAGGTCTTAAGGGCAACACATCATACATTTATGATAATTTCATATGTGAAATAAAAATATAATCCTTTCATGCATATTAGTTTCAGAGCAGACACAACCATCTCTGCCTTTATGTATATTAACATTAAAATTGACAAAGTTTGAACCTCCACAGTGACCTTGACCTAAGTCATAGAAACCAGAGTCTTATTCGCGACATACCATACATCTATGGTTATGTTATATTTGAAAGAAAAAATAAAATCCTTTCATGCATACTGAAGTTTCAGAGCGGACACGACCACCACCATCTATATTTATATAACATAAAAAAATGACAAAGTTTGAACCCCCACAGTGACCTTGACCTTAGTTCGTTAGAACCCGAGTCTTGTTCACGACACACCATACATTTATGGTTTTATTTCATATATGAAAAGAAAAATTTAAAATCCTTTCATGCACATACTTAAGTTTCAGAGCGGACACGACCACCACTGTCTCTATTGTATAACAGCGGGACGGACGAAACTGATGTTGACATTCTAACAGGGAGTAATAATGTTCCTCTCTATTTTCTCTCATTGTTCTTTTTTAGCCACACGGAAAGAAAAAAGCCAAATAAAAGCATTAAGGAATGAATGACATCAAAGAAGAAAGAACCCGTTAGCCTATTGTCCCTCTAGCCACATAATTACTGTCCCATGAGTGCGGACTGATAGACGGACGGACAGACGGACGGGACGAAGGTTCGATTTTTAATATATCACCCCTTCGGGGATAAACAAAGACACAAAACAAAGAAATAATTAGTGATCTGAAAATGATAAATATAGTCAGCCAACATGAATCAAAGTACTAAGTTTCTCTCGCATCATTATGTAAAATAATTATACCCCGGAAACGAAGTTTGGGGGGTATAAAGGCCAGTCACCCGGTTGTTGGATGGTCAGACAAGCAGACAATTGCATTTTCCTTGTCAGCAGCATAACTTGAAGACTAATGGTTGGTATTCAATACAACTTCATACGATGGTCAAGCACAATAAAAGGAAGTGCAGTTCACAAGAACCATAACTCTATCCAGAGTAATTATAAAGTTATTGACCTTTGTTACTTTTCCATTGCTTTTTTCTTGTCCAAAGCATTACTTGAAAACCGCTAGTTGGAATTCAATACAACTTCATACAATGGTCTAGCGCATTAAGAGGAAGTGCAGTGTACAAGAACCATAACTCTATCTTGACTAATTACACAGTTATTGCCCTTTGATGCTTTTCCTTGTCAGGAACATAACTTGAAAAGTACTGGTTGGATTTCAAAACAAATTTAATGGTTAAGCATAATAATAAAGCATAATAAGAGGAAGTGCAGTGCACAATAACCATAACTCTATCTTAAGAAATTGTAGAATTATTGCCCTTGTTACTTTTCAATTGCATTGTCCTTGTCTGGAGCATAACTTGAAAACCACTTGTTGGAATTATTACAGAGTAATTCAATAAAACTTCATCAATGGTCAACCACAGTGAAGGGAAATGCAACGTAAAAGAAGCACAACTCTCTTTAATTACCCACAACCATAACTCTTATTTCAATTCTTTAACAAGGTATTCTGTTACTAGTTATTTACTCATTTCTGAAGCAGTCTTACGGGGGTATTAATTAGTGATAGCTCTAGTTATGTTTTCTTTTCAGTTTAATTATCACATCATTATGTAAAATTAAGTCTTCATAATTATGTAGAAAAAAAAGTTCCAAATATTTTACTGCCTTGTAAATTTAATGAATTAGATTTTATGATGATATTTAGATTTCTTTTTGATTTTTTCAATCAAATATATTTAAGTATCATATAAGGTATGTATTTCTACTGGAAAATAGAATATCAGGATTAAACCAGTAGTATACAGCACAAAAGCCAGTGTATCGAATGTCCCAAGCTAAAGCTAACTTCCTGCAGCAGTTTAGTTCCCTGAATAGTACAGTTTCAATTGGAAGGAGAGATATGCGAAGAGTTACTATTGACATGTTAACATGTATACCTACAAGTTTTATCAAAGTTGGAACTATTTTCAAACGTGTATGCAAAAACTAGTGGTATTAGGTTTTTGGCAAGTTTCCTCGGTAACAACAAGCAAGTTAGAGTAGAATGAACAATCTGTAAATTGCAGACCAAGAATGGTGTTTTATGTATCAAAATATTCAATGTTAACCAGTTGCATTACAAGAGCATGATTATTTCATTTTCTTTTGTGTTCATAAACAGATAATGAAAATCACAGAACAACCAAGTCCCTTTTAGCTTTTGAATGCAGATACACATGTAAATTTCAGTTACGCAAAAGCAGAGACATTTTATTTCCTTTTTCTATACAGTTCAATGTTTTAAAATGTCTTAGGTTTAAATTTGAATTCCGCATTACAATTAATTGAGTAACATGAAAGTATTATTTTGTATTCCTAGTTAAAAAAAAATAATAAAAATAAACTTATTGTTTAACCGTCAGTTCACTATTGTCAATCCATGGTAAAATAATAAGAAATATATTGTATCTAAATAAATCTATTTTAGATAAGGCTTTTTACATAAACAAATCATGAGACAATAAACTTAACTGAAAGTTATAAATAAAGATAGACAACAATGTCTTCCACAGAAGTGATATAAAAAATCATTCAATGAAAATATATATAATAAGTTAATTTACTCTGTCTGATATCAATAAAATGTTTATCAATAAATTTCAATATTGATGCAAAACCATTTATTCAAATGGTTAAGCAAAACAAATATTTGATAAACCGTCAAACTCTCAAGCAAGAACAGTCATTCAAATGGTTACATAAAACAAACATTTGTTAACCGTCAAACTCTTCAGCAAGAACAGTCATTCAAATGGTTACATAAAACAAATATTTGACATTCAAATGGTTACATAAAACAAATATTTGATAAACCGTCAAACTCTCCAGCAAGAACAGTCATTCAAATGGTTACATAAAACAAACATTTGATAAACTGTCAAACTCTCCAGCAAGAACAGTCATTCAAATGGTTACATAAAACAAACATTTGATAAACCGTCAAACTCTCCAGCAAGAACAGTCATTCAAATGGTTACATAAAACAAACATTTGATAAACCGTCAAACTCTCCAGCAAGAACAGTCATTCAAATGGTTACATAAAACAAACATTTGATAAACCGTCAAACACATGGTGGCACAAAAATACATTTGATGAACTGTCAAACTCTCTAGCTAGACAGGTAATTCAAATGGTGTCATTGAAAAAGACCTATTAAACAGTATTCAATTCACCTGTGTTAACCTTACTACTTAGAAAATCGTGAGGTTATAAACCAATTATGTTAAAATACATGATGATTTTATTCTGATTCAAAATTTAAAAATTGTCTGACAGTCAATCTAACAATAAGTATATCTTTTTATTAAAGATTTTAAATAAGTACAAGCAAACCAATCTTTATTTTAATAATATAACTTGCAAAACTAAGTATGTTTCTAGAAAATATAAATCTCATATTTTTCTTTTTTTTTTCAAATAAAATATTTTCTTTCATGTTTTTATCAATACACTGTAATGTACATTTCAAAACATTCATTATTAAACTCTTAAACCATTTCATCATTTTAAAGTATATTCTGTAATGATCAAAATTGTTTAAGCTAATGCCAATGGATGAATTATTACAAAATTACTATCAACAGTTTTATTGCAACAGTATTAAAATAATGGCTTTTTATAGCTACATTGAAAACAAATTTTCACAAGCGTAAAGTCTACCCTATTTGACATATTACCTAGGTAACTAGCCAAAAATATAACACCACCTATTTCTGCATACCTGTACTAATATAACAATGTCATATCCAATATTAGCCAAAAGCTTTGAAATTTGACCTTCAAAGATAATTGTTTGTTAAAGGCAAAGGTCAAATTGAGTTTAATTTTATTCTTATTATGACAATGTCTTTA